GCTTTGAATTATTTCAGGCGGCGTAACTTGTGTGAAGTAATTTATGGGAGAGGGAGTGACTAGGCATGCTTGAGGGACGTATGTTGTGGAGTTCTTATGTGAGTGAAAACGTCCATTAAAATTTTGAATATACTAGTGAATGGAAATTAATTAATTTCTGGCTAATTGTCGTGTCGTAACGAGGGAGAAATTAAGAAAAGGAAAAAAAAATTTTCACTGTCAAAGAGCTATTTGACAGACTAAAGATTATGAAATAGGCCCATTTTTTTAGTAACAGATTTCGCACTAAGTGAATTTAAGATCATACAACATTATATATATATATATATATATATATTTATATATATATATATAGAGAGAGAGAGAGAGAGAGAGCTGACTATATTACTCTATGGCAGCCTGGGCGGCTACCGCTCGTACGAACAGATTGAAAATTCAAAGAATACAAAATAAAGCCTTGAGAAGCAGGGAGCCAATGCTCCCTGGTTCGTAAGAAACTCCACTCTGCAGAATGACCTTATGATTAAACCTACAGACTCAGAAATTCTAAAATTTCGTGCATAAATTCTTCCTCAAATGTGATCAACACAAGAACAGAGGAATTAGGCAATTTTGACTACGAATTAGGCAATTGCCTAATTTTTAAGAAATTAGGCAATTATGACTACGTCATAGAGCTAAATCATAAAAGACCTCGCACTATCCATCATAATTCTAAATGGCAGGGCTTGTTTATATTATCTAATATTTTTTCATTTACTTCATTTAAACAAGTTTTATATTTTATTCATATTTAACCAAGTTTTTATTTCGTACCTTGCAAAGAAGATTTTTGTACCTGATATAGCAGGTTTTGTTGGAACTGTATTTGTATATATTGTATTATATTCTGTATGCAACAGCTCTATGGCGTAGTAGGTAAGACAAACAATTGGAAACTTTCCATAACCGGTTCGAGTCCCGATAGAATTGTTTACGCACATATACCTGTACAAAATTGTTTCTCTTTTTTGAAACTTATTTTTTATGTTCTTCACTTATTGATTAAACCTACTTTTTTTACTTTTACACTGCTAAGGAGGACTACTGACCGGAAGCAAGCCCTTGCAGAATGATGTCCACCCTTCAGAAGACATAACGGCCTTTATTGAGTCTAAATTAAAAAAAAAAAAAAAAAAAAAAAAGATTACAGAGTCACATATAGATAGGGGATACAAAGGACTACCTTGAATACATATGACATTCTTGATTGCATAGATTAAAAAAAATACTTAGAAGTACAGAGCTGCATTGATACAAAACTGCTTAGGGAAAACAAAAACAGTAAACTTCAAGACTAACAATGGAATTTCAAGCCTGCAGTTATACATCACACTGACTTACTATTATACAACTATACACTTACTATAATTCCGAACATTATTAAGAAAACATATTATGCAATATATTACTAGAATACTGAACAACACGCTGACATAGTAAAGCTGATACTACAAATAAAACACACCATATACACTGCTCGTATCAGGAAAGTACGCACTGGCATAGTAAAGCTGATACTACAAATAAAACACATCATATACACTGCTCGTATCAGAAAAGTAGACAATTCTGTACATGATGCTGTACTGTAACGCTAAAACTAATCAAAAGAACACTAGTCAATAACCTTTGGAAGCAGTGACAGTGAAAGTTAGGATGGTAATACATTGTAACAGAAACAGAGCTAGAATGCTGAGTCAATTCAAAACATCAAACCCAACAATACATTTCCATACGTATTTACAAAGTTCTACATCCAAGAAAGTCTGGTTCAATATTCCTAATATACATAACACTTACTTACCATTATACAACACTAAACTAACTATTATACTCCACATTATTAGAAAATAAATTATACAACACACTTATTGAAATACTGTACATACACTGAAATGAAATGGAGTATATTTCAAAATAGCAATCAATATACAATGTGCTTATCAGAAAGTTGGTTCTGCGGCTACGAATATTTGTTAGAAACTGTTACATTTTGCACAATACTAGAAATTGTAACAAAACATTTGCACACAATATTTCATGGTACTAGCCGAGAGCTCTGCATATGTATTTACTATTATATCGCAAACTTTCTTCACTGTATTTATGTCAAATAGAATTTGTCTCAAGAAACTATCTCAAGGAAAATCTACTTCTTCAAAGTTATCCCATGGCATCATTTGGCGCCACATGAACGTCACTCCAAAGATACACCATTACTGAAGATTACTAAAGGGGTGTTGGAACCCCAAAATATTCAAAAAATTGTGATTTCGGATTTTTGCATTTTCAAATTCACTACACTTTTATCTTTCTAAAAATACCATTCTTTAATCTTTCTTTAATTCTTTAATTAATTAATAAAAAATTTAAATCTTTATTTTTCTTATGAAAATTAGAACTGTAAAAATTATACTTTTAATTTGTCATCGACTGCTTTGATCAACGAGAATTTTTACATAAAAACGCGTTTTTGTCCTAGCGTGATTTTTTTATACTCGATGTACCTTTTCTCAGGAACTACAGCTCACAGGTATCTAAAATTTGTATGGGTTATTTAATACGTTTCCTAATATTTACTGAAATGAGCTTTTTGTGATAAACTTAGGGAAAAAATTTTTTAAATGTTTTTGTGTGAGAAAAGTGTTAAATTTTACTATGCCTAACAAAATATTCTGTAAATTACTCTAAAATGCAAACTGTTTCAAAAGCTCATTTCATAGTAGTAGTAGTAGTAGTAGTAGTAGTAGTAGTAGTAGTAACGGAGGACTTGAGCACCATCCCTCCACCGTTAAGGTTAACCGGTAATAGCTCCACGTCCACCCTTATCCAGAGTTGACCATTTGGAGCCACGTGGGGGTCTCGCATGGAGCGCCCAGACCGTCCCGTTTGCAGTTCTGCTGACCAATCCGCCAGCAAGGCTGCACTCCCAGCCAGCTGCCCAGGCCCAGTACTTATTGATTCTAATCAAACAATACATGGCCATACAAGGGCTTATCGCTGTGCTAGCGCAGTAATACATATCAAAACTTAACATTAAAATACTTGAGTTTGATATACACATAAGGACATACGTATATGATACGGTTACATTGAAATGTGTACAATAGAGAATTAAGTCCTAAGTTGCTGTCGTGATTACCTGCTAAATTCATACGTAACAGACATGGTATGTATCCCAGTAACACACACCTAAATTAAGTGTGGTACAGTTGAACAAATTTACACATAAATGCATACAGTGCTTGTCATTAGATAAGTATACTATGGACATATCAGTGCTGTGGGTTGCAATTGTGAATACCATTACTGTACATATTATATTTACATAGAAGTAACCTGCTAAATTCATGCATAACAGTCATGCGAATTTAAATATGATACAGTTGAACAAATTTACACGTAATAATGCATACAGTACTTGACATAATCAATGCTGTGGGATGTAATCATGAATACCATTAAGGTACTTAGAATATTTACATATTAGTTATCTGTTAAATTCATACATAGCAGTCATGCGAATTTGAATATGATACAGTTGAGGAAATTTACACATAAAATGCATACAGTACTTGACATAATCAATGCTGTGGGATGTAATCATGAATACCATTAAGGTACTTAGAATATTTACATATTAGTTACCTGTTAAATTCATACATAGCAGTCATGCGAATTTGAATATGATACAGTTGAGCAAATTTACACATAAAATGCATACAGTACTTGTCATTAAATAAGAATAATTTTGACATAATCAATGCTGTGGGATGCAATCATGTGTACCATTAAAGTACATATAATATTTACATAGAAGTAACCTGCTAATTTCATGCATAAACAGTCATACGAATTTAAGTATGATACAATTGAACAAATTTACACATAATAAAGCATACAGTACTTGTGATTAAACAATTTTAACATAATCAATGCTGTGTGATGCAATCATGAATACCATTAAAGCACATAAAATATTTACATAGAAGTTACCTGCTAAATTCATGTATAACAGTAGTGTGAATTTCAGTATGTATGTGTGTGTGTATTTAATTATGGCAAAGCACACTAGGGCTATCTGCCTAAGGGGAGGGATGCCTTCGTGGAGGACTTTCTAAGGGAAACTGGCTCGTATACACGTTACACATGGGGAAAACCACGAAAACACCCATGCAGCCAGCCCGTTCGCGGGATTCGATCCTCGGACCGAACTACCAGTGTTCAGCAACTTTACCGCTCGGCCGCTGGTGGGCCTGAATTTCAGTATGATACAGTTGAACAGATTTACACATAATAATGGATCAGTACTTGTCATTAAATAATTTTGACATAATTGATGCTGTGGGATGCAATCATGTATACCATTAGAGTACATATAATATTTACATAGAGTTACCTGCTAAATTCATGCATAACAGTCATGAGAATTTAAGTATGATATATTTGAACAAATTTACACATAATAATGCATACAGCACTTGTAATTGAATAATTTTGACATAATCAGTGCTGTGGGATGCAATCTTGAATACCATTAAAGTACATATTATATTTACATAGAAGTTACCTGCTAAATTCATGCATAACAGTCATGCGAATTTACGTTTGATACGGTTGAACAAATTCACACATGATGTTGCATACAGTACTTGTTTCTGATTAAGAATTATTTTGACACAGTCAGTACTGTGGATTGTAAACATGAATACCATTAATGTACATATAATATTTAACATAGAGTTACCTGCTAAATTCATGCAAAACAGTCTTGGTACGTGTCTCACCGTCACACACCGAAATTAAGTATGATACGGTTGAACAGTTTAACACATAATAATGCATACAGTTCTTGTCATTAGATATGAAAGTTTTACATAATCGTGCTGTAGGTTGCAATCATGATTGCCATTATTCGTATGTAGGAAGTATTATGAAGCTTGATTTCGTGACGTTAGTTATGCAGCTTGACATAATTCTGTGCGAAGTGTCATAAGTTTTGACATAAAAGTAGTGATTTGACGTATTGACTGCTTGTGCTTGACTAGGAACTTGCAGAAGGCCTGACGATCCGTTATTGGAATGGCAATATGATGTTCCTCTGTAAGGGGACATGCGGCGATATAATGGTCTGCTGTACCCTTTTCACCACAGATACAGACGTCAGTACTGGTTATTGCAAATCGATGAAAGTACTGTGGGAAGGGGCCGTGACTCGATATAAAACGGACCAAGAGAGGATTGGGAGTGAGTCTTTGCAAATCTACCTTTGCTTTGAAGTAGAAAGTTCTGCCAGTCAAGCTATTCGACCATTCTTGCTGCCATTTTTTGCAGACAATTTGACGTAGAGTCTTTTTCAGGTACGAGGTAGGCCATGGGATATGTACTGTAGTTATATTGCTCCCAGTGGCGGCTTCTTTTGCTAGGCTGTCTGCTAACTCATTGCCATATATACCTATATGTGTTTTAATCCACTTAATTACATACTGGCAATGAGCATTTTCTCTTAGAGATTTCTGGATGTCTGCAATTAACGGGGCGGTGTGTTCTACATTGGCAATTGCCTGCATGGATGATAGGCTATCCGTATATATGAAGGCTTTTTGAATTTTTTATTCATGAGATATCGTATTGCCTCATAGATAGCAAATGCTTCGCTTTGGAAAACACTGTTTTCCGTGCTGAGCTGTCTTAGCCATTGGTACAAGAGCTGTTGTTGGTCATTGAACACGCAGAAGGCGCTGCCTACCTTCTCGTCTATGCTGGAACCATCTGTGTAAATTGAGACATAGCCGAGTGGTGCCACGTTATCTGGGTTTTTAGTGAGGTGTATTCCAATACCTTTAAGTGCTGGGTGGATTTGGAGATGAGGGATCTTAGTCTCAAATTGTTCTTGAGAGAATGTGACATCATCATAGGTGAGAGAGAGTTTTAATTGATTAACCTGTTGCGTGACCGCTTCTTCCTCTATCCGAAGGTGAAGGGGTATTACTCCTGCCAGAACGTTCAGTGCATCCGTTGATGTTGTCCTGAAGGCTCTGGTAATAGAAAGCAGGAAGGGCCTCTGTAGTGCGGTAAGATGCCGTACTTTTCTCCCCTGCATGGGGAAGGCCCAAATGGCCGCTCCATATGAAACCATCTTCTCGACAATAGTGAGATATAATGCTTTTTGTATGTGCGAATTAATACCCCGGTGGGATCCGTATTGCATTCAGAAATGCGCTCATTTCAGTATAATCAGATAGGTATACTTCAATTACACAAAAAATTTCAAGCGTGTATCTACAGCAGATTTTGAGAAAAGGTACGTCGAAAATGGTCAATTTAACATTGTTGGTATAGGGGTTGCTGATAGCCCTGTCAACAGTTAGCGTCGTACTTCTTTCTCTTATGAGATCCGCAGCCAGTGCTTTAAGACTTTCCACTTGTTCGGATTTTTTTTTTTCATCTTTATGCCATTAGAAATATAGACTGGTAAAGGCCTCAACAGGCCGCATGCCTTTTACATGAATGATGATCTGTGATCTGTAAGAGAGCTGACCAAAAATCTTATCAAATGTTGGCCCATTGTTCCTCCCAGTTCAAAAAATAAATAGAATAAAGCTGTCTTTAAACTACAGCAGTTTTGAACATGACATGGTGTTTAATGATAACAATCCGAAATTTAAATTTTCACATGGTCTTCTTAGGAAGAAAAAGTGTTAAGGAGAAAAATAATTCCCATAAAAAGAATTATTCAAGCAAAAAAATCAGTCTTCAATAAGATAAAAATTATTTCAGAACCAGATTTTTCAAGAAAACGTGTACAAATATTGTTACAAGTTTAACTAAGTTTAACTTACTGCGTTAATAAGTTGTTACTACATTTAAGTTTATGAAAGTGCATTCCTAAAAGGTACGTTTTTCATCATTGAAAGCATAAATATAAAAGAAAGGATTTCGGATTCCCTTCTATAGAAATGCAAATTTCGCTAATATTTTAGGTAAGTACTTTAGATTTGTGAGGTCCTTAAAAATCTACATTTTCATTGCAGTAAAACTGGTTTGAGTGTCATTATTTAGATATTTTTTTTTCTAGGCTAGTTTTGAGTATCACAGAATCGAATTTTTAGAAAATATCTTTCAGTATGATAAGCAACGATTTACTGAAGTTCATTGTTGGGAACACATCAAAAAATATATTTTTATATAATTTTAGTAAATGGCCTAACGTCACTAAAATAGTCTAAAAATCTTTCGTATTTCATTCATTTCTTAAAATTCTAACGCGGGATATAATTAATTGTTCAAGATATATTAAATTACGTAATCTTTCAGAAACACCCTGTGTATGTACTCCTATGTTTATAGAGAAAAGTTATGTTTTTGGAATATGGAAAAGCTCATGAGGGTTATCTGCCTAGAGGAAAGAATGTCTTCTTGAAGAACTTTCTAAAGAAAAATGGCTCGTATTCACGTTATACATGGGGAAAATCAACCATGCAGCTAGCCAAGTCGCCTGAATTCGAACTTAGGACGAACTATCAGCAGTCAGCGGTCTTAACTACTCCGCCACTGATAGGATATGGCAGAGAGAGAGAAATGAGGAGGATTCATGCCGAAATTATCATAATAAAATACTACAGCAAGAGGAGGATTCATGCCGAAATTATCATAATAAAATACTATAGAAAGAGGAGGATTCATGCCGAAATTATCATAATAAAATACTATAGCAAGAGGAGGATTCATGCCGAAATTATCATAATAAAATACTATAACAATCTATTATATTAACGCAGGTTTCATTTATCTTATTGTTTAACACTGTAACTAACGATAAAGTAATAATATGAAGTCCTTATTCCCACGGTAAAACTGTCTCCCAAAGGATTTAAGATGATTCAATTTTTCTAAATTTTCTTCAAATTAACACACTTCAGCGCATATATATAAATACTATATAATAATAATAATAATAATGTATTTACTAATGGATTGAGTATATTATCTCCTTTGAGAAACACTTTACTCAAGTGAGGAAATGTTACTACTATTCACTCTAACAATAATATATCAGGATTAAAAAAAATTATTAACTTAACGGAATTGCCCCATTCATAATGAATCCTGCATAGTACATTAAATTAAATTCATCTCACATAGAATCTACCTATTTGGCTTAAACTCAAATTACCTAATACTAATTTGGCATCATAATTCTTACTTGAGTAAAAGACGAAACACTTTCGCATTTATTAATTATTGTTAATTGATCGGGCTTGGTTGTTCCTGTTGAAAAGTCAACCAATTTCCAATCAATGACGATAATTACTTGGTTTGTTGATTACTTTTTCATTTTTTAAAGTTTACATTTTCAGTTTTTTTTCATGATTCATATTCGATGTTTCTTTTTTAAATATTTTCATGATTCATTTTTAAACGCTTATAAGTTACTTCATTTAACTAAAATTCTAATAATTTTCCCAAAAGAGATAATATACTCAATAATCTATTAGTAAATAAATTATTATTTTATTACTTTGCAACTTTTGCGCAAGTATTAGGCAATTTCTTACGATTAATTAATATATATATATATATATAAGATAAAAATTTAATTTGCAACAGCCCTTTAAAACTTCCTTTAAATTTAGTTTTTTCCCCTTTTCTATCCTAAAAATAGTAATATGCTTATGATAAATCTTTCTGAAGAGCTGTGTTCTAAAACTAATCCTTGTCACACAATTCCTATTTAACACTTAAAATGCATGCTCTAACATAATGGCAAAAGTAAATTTTTTTCGCCAATTATAATTAAGCCAGAAATTTTACTAAAAGAAAAATAATCAAAACATATGCCCATCTGCTGAAAATGCCACCATACTTAATTTAAGGTCAATAGTATAATGTTCGCTCTTTTCTCATTTGTGTTTGTTTTGTTAATATGCCGTTTGCAGCTTGTCCTTTTATCTGTCACCTTCTCGAATTATGTGAAACATAAACTTATAACCGTAGAATAGAAAGTGCACCCATGTCTGACAATCGTGAACTGCTTTACGACGTTTTATTCAACGAATTATGCAAAATATAAAAGGATCTGTGAATGCCCACGACTGCCTGTTGTTCGAAGAAATAATCACCAGAAAACGCATGAATATCGTTATTATGTTCTATGACACGCACTAAATTTCATTAATTATGTGCACACACACACACACACACATATATATATATATATATATATATATATATATATATATATATATACATACAGTAGAGCCTCGGATCACGAACCTCACTTTGTGAACAGCTTGGCTCACGAACAAACTAACTGAAAAAGAAACGCCTCGAATGAAGTAACTCGAGTCACAAACACTCAAGTCGGCAACATATGATTTTCAAAGTGTTCTGGGTCGCCCTGTGCCCCATAATTAACGCTCAGGGACCTTCTGGGAAGATCATTTTAATATTTTTTCATTGCTTAACTCCCATTAACAAACCTGGCAGTAAAGTTATTTACGGGACAATGAATTTGGACTGGTAGGAGTTATGGGCCAGACTGGGTTGCAGACAGAGTCTGAGAACTTTGACGCTTTTTTGTTTTTTTCTATTTCTTTTTGTGTGTGTGTGTCTGAAAAAACTATAAGCCCAAGTGAACAGTAAAGACATTAAGAAATTACTATAGGACTGCGAGTTCAACAAAAAAAAACTACAACTTCAGAAGCAGAAAAAATAAAAAGGCGATTGTGGAAGAAATGTCTTCAGAAGAAGAGAAAGAAAAAAATTCTGATTCTAGTTCATTGATTTGTGATACTGTGCCAATTCGACTGCAAGCTTCAAAGTTTTCAAGTAACGATATTAGCCTGATAAAGAAATAACAAGCTTCAGCATAAGCACTTTGAATGACAATGCCATGTCTCACTTTAGAAATACTTTTAAATATAGGCAAAAACAGATCAGATTTGAGAAATTTTTGCAGAAACAGATGGCCAAGAAAAATCCAGGGGTGTTTAGAGACAAAGAAAAGATAGCAGAAGATGTCTCTAAAGGTAGTTACTCGGTGTTTTTATTAAAGGGAATTTAACATCCATACAATAATATTTTGCTCATTATTTTCCACTTATATCGTTGTCTGTTCTACTCACAGAACAATAAACTTAAATTAAGTTTTTATCGATTTAATCTGTTTAATATTCGGGTTTTCATACTTAATGATTTCTAGTGTTTTAAATTATAAACTTAAACCTAAAATATTCTTCTCAACATTAAATAAGCAATTATCTGTGGTCCGAGAACGAGTTGATCCATTTTAGATTAAATTCTATGGGAAAAATATTTTCAGTTTAAGAGCATTTTGGTTGATGAAGGGCTTTCAGGAACGAATTCACACACATATAGCACATTTTTGTGTATGCATAAATTGTGTATGTATATATAGAGATATAAAAATTGTCAATATAAACATTGACACATACGTGCATATGTATATTAAAATTTCACAGCAGTTAGAATCTGATGAGGATTTCGAAAATCTGATATATTTAGATCAAATTCATCATATTAATTTACTTCACTGTGCATTCAGAGTAAACAGAAGAAAATTTAGAAGGAAATTCTTAAAAGTGTAAAAGAATGCATATAATTTTTCTAAAATTATGCATCAAATTAACGACACTGTTACTTAAATATGACGCGTATTTAGGTTAAAGAACACTTCTTTCATCTAAATTTCTTTAAAATTGTTTTATGTGGAATAATACATGCTGAAAAATTAAGGGAACAGAAGAAATTTACCGCAATAATTATTATTTCGGAAATTCGCTTGCAGGCAACAGCAGCTATCAAGCAAAAACTCTTTTACAGAATTTAAGAATCAGTATATTTATTATGTCATAGAATTCAGGTATATATACAGATGAACAACATATTAGTATTATACTAAATATATAAAGATGTTAGGGTAACAGTAGGCCAGCTACGGTCATTAAGATCGATTTGGCAACAGTTTCTAAACGACAGAAGATTGGCTTCTCTTTCAGCTTAATTTCAGAAATTAGGCGAATTCAAATTAGCCAAGCAAGTTGCATTGGAGCCGCAGAGAAGCCTCTGGAAGGGTCTCTGGCGAAAGATTCGTGTCATCAATTTGATAAAAAGTGCAGTTATTCGGTCCCTGCGTTTGGTTCCTTCAGTTGCTGCTTGTTGCTGTTTGTCTCCTATGTAAATAAGAAACAAAAATCAGGTATTTAGATATTTTTATAGCAATATAGTAAAATATGAAACAATGGCAAGTCCTTAAATCTTATTTTATACATCATTAAAATTAACTTTTGCAAGTTATAAAAAAAGGTAGCTGTTCAGTGAAGAGTCTTTGTAATTACTGAAGAAATTAATTTAGTTTGTAATTACACTTTGATATAATATTTAAGAACTTTTTTCCCTTTATGAGGGGTGTAATGAAAAGTCTTTTATGCGAGATAACTATTGATATTATGCTAGGCTGGATTTTCATTCGAAATGTAAATAGTTATGTTAACATAAAAATTATCAGAATACGATACTGATGTATTTTATTTCGCTTTTACGAAGATTAAAACTCAAAAAGTAAATCTTTGTCAGCTTATGAAACTTGTTTTGATTTGAAAGAATTTTTTTCTTCTTTTCTAAAATCAAATTAAATTTGTAAAATTTCTCTTGTGCATTTAATTATGCGACTTTCGTAATTAAAACCAGAATCTTTTAGAAAACTGTACTTCGTGATAATCTGAAATATGTATTATTAATGCGTTTATATGTAAACGTTTAGTAGCTAATTAATGTTTAATATTATTGTTTCCAAAAGATAAAGAGATACTGCTGATAATACTCGGTTCCATTTTCATTAAGTTTTTTTACAAGTAACTTTTCTTTAACCTTCGAATATAGTTTTAGCTTATGTTAATATTACAGTTCATTCTTTTGAGTGTTACGAATACGATCTTTCACATCCAACTGCTGCTAAGTGAAATTAAACTGTTACCAATTGCATTTGCCAAGCATTTAAACACTACTCTCTCATTATATCTAGTGATTTATATGTTGATGTGGAAATTATTGTTGTAAAAAAAAGTAAACGTGCTATAAGGGATTTGTTTGTAGATAACCTTATGTACCATAGTATTTCCTGGAAAGTTTTCACAAGATCCCTTTTTGCTCTTATAAACTTTGTTAAAATTTAATATTAGACGAAAAAATTACTAAATAATTTATTCATTGAAGACTCATCACAGAAGATTTGTTGTAAAATATTTGGTTTTGTACTTTTCCAGAAGTTGTAAAAAATATATTTCACTTTTTCAGTTTAGTTTTATGCTTCGGTAAATATTTTTAAATACTATGTAGCATTTATATTATAGAAAACCTTTTTTAAATAAAAAAATTTAAAGTTAATTTATTAAATAAAAGGCTTCAGATAGTTCCTTTTCTGCGTCAGTTCACTGCGATATTTCTTTGAAAGTTTAATATGATGTATGCATGTATAGCTTAAAATTGCCTTTTGTATAATATGAAACTGCCTTTACATTTTGTATAAAAAATTTAGTGGGCTACATTAGTTGTTTAAAAATTATTTTAACAAACGTTTTCATGTGATGTATTTAAAGCTGCTTTTATACTATTATGGTCGAATGCATATATTATTATGCTCGAATGTGAATAAATACCAGCATAGCTCTATAGAAAACTTTTTATAGGGGTATGTCTTCGTAGAGGAAAGTCTCTCTACCCACGGCTGAAGCTTAACTACAAGAAGCGTTATTCGAGCTCTGTGTCAAACCAGTGTTGTTAAATGAGTGTGTTTGCTTTTTGCGTAGATTTTGATTACTTTTCGTTGATTTGTTCATTGAAGGTATTAGATGTTTTGAACTTTTTATAAGGCCTTACATTTTAATCAATTTTGAAATTTTTATTATTTAATAATGTATGAATTTCATCTCAATTAATTTATACTGGGTAGCTCACGCATTTACCTCATTTTATGTGATGCGCAACAATAAAAATTTGAGCATTAATCGTCATTTACGTATTTATGTGTACAGCCAGCACTTATTTGTTTGAGAGAATGTTAGGGATAATCTTGTATTTCTTTAGTGCGAAAATTAATAATTTTCAAGTTGTACAAAGTTTGAAATTTTCGTATTTGACCTTCTTATCTTTCTTACTTACCATTATTTCAGTTTGTAATGACGAAAGAAGTTAAGTGAATGAAATGCACATGACCAATTAAAAACTTTTCTTCCTCTTTTTACTTTCATTCAGAAGCTAAAAAAATGGATTACCTGTACTGCAACACTGCACAAATAAGCTATCGGCATATCAGTACTGGATTAACCACGAAATAAAACATAGTACTTACTTTCAGCTTCCGAAGATGGCAGCACATTCTATAACTAGCAAATACTTCCCAGTTTATAAAATGAATTCGGAATCGTGCACGAGTAATAAGTTATTAGTTACCTATGATTTTAAAATAGCTAAGCATTTTGAAAAAAAAAAATTTTTTTTTTAAAGCGCATAGCTATTCTCAATGATAAAATGGCTTCTCTGCAATATTTATCGGAAAAGGTGAAAGCCATATTTGCTTTCATCTTTTCTGATGAGATTATATGCTCATTTATAAATAACTCTATAGCACAGATTCGTTAGAAAATACTACCTCTTACATACCTGTTAATGTGTTGAAAAATTGTGTTTTAAGATCTCTTGCAAGCCTCATGTAGTTGACGTTCTGATTTGGTGGCCAGCCTAAAAGGAAAGCATGATCATTAATTCTAATGAAATAAATTTATTTTTCCAGTTTTAGATCATATAGAACGTTAAACACTTTTAATTACAATCTTTACGATGTAGAACTTTGATAAACAAATCAGATGAGATGCATTAAAATTCGAAACCGTCCTGTACCATCAGTTTTTTTTTTTTTTTTTAATTTTTTTTTTTTTTATTCACTGATTTCGATCTTTACTTTGAATTATTAGGAATTATTTTTTGTGCAAGAATATAAGCTTTTGGCCAGCAAAAATGTATAAATGGAAATAATTCTTCCAGTGTCTGTCACAAAATATCTGAAAAACATTAATGTCAGTTTGTTTTATCTAAAATTAACTCGTGTCTTCTTTATACCGGTCTGCAAAATTCAGTCACATATTCAGCATATTTTTTAAAATTATTCTATAAGTTTTATTCAAATGTTTGAGTACAATCTAGTAAATAACATGAAACTTAGTAGAGCACAGTACAATGTTCTTCGTTTCCAATTTCGAGTTTATTTTTTTTATTTCCGATGTAGACGTGACTGTTTCATACATTTTAATTATTCAAAATTGAAGATTTATTTTTTTTATGTACAGGTTGCTTGATGATTCATGGTACTTTCCTGTTAACGGGGGTTGCCTACCAGCGGCCGAGCGGTGAAATCGCTCAACACTGGTAGTTCGGTCCGAGGTTCGAAATCCGCGAACGGGCTGGCTGCATGGGTGTTTTCGTGGTTTTCCCCATGTGTAACGTGTATACAAGGCAGTTTCCCTTAGAAGATCCTCCACGAAGACATCCCCTTACGGCAAAGCCATGAGGGTTATAAAGCAAACCAAACCGTTAACGGGATGCCATTCGCCAAATGTGCGCCTAACGCCAAATGTGGTAGCCTGTTTATATTGCGTTATGAAAAGCTATTCATTGACGTCGTTCGGGAACAATAGACATGAAATGCAGGAATTTTCTCTCCCAAGTTTATCAATCACTTAAGGGGATGAACTAGCAGCTGCCGGCCATATAAATATCTGCAAGTTAGCCTCAAATACAACGTTACTGTCCCTGATAAGCTCGCCTCTAGTCGCCACCATCTAGATTCCTACCTATCTAGATATCGAATTCATTCGGCCGCAGTTGAATGAAAATGTTTCGACAGTGTTAAATGAAATTGGCAATTTTATGCCTCCTGTGAAATCTAAATTTAATCTTGTAAAATCATCTTTTTTTGTATTTGTCTTTTTTATTATTCTTTTTATGAAGTATTGCGTATCGTTACAGTTTCCATTTAGTTAAGATTTCGCATCAATCATCAACGTTTGGCGTTAAATGACGCTCCATTAACAGAAAAGGACTGTGCTCAGTTTCTTCTAGAAAATTTAGCTTTCGAAAATTGCCTAAACTTTCGGGAAAAAAGTTAAATATTTAAAACATGCATTACGCACAGTTTTATGGTTTTGTATACGATCAAAGAAATTAAATTTTTCGTATGATTTTTTTTCGGATTCTAGCTTATAATTTCACATTAATTCGTCAGCTAAATGTGTACGGAGCATAGCAATAAAGGCATACCTATGTTTTCGGTTCATGTATCTCTTATGGCCCTCCCATAAATTTTAAATGGAAATTTGCTTCAATGTATTAAGTAAATAAAACTTATGAGAACACGAAAGATCACTTAAGTTAATTTACATACTTTTACAAATTCTATAACATATTTATCGTAAATAAATTAGATGTAAAAATTCAGCGATATCATAAATGTATTTACGAAAAGATGTCAAAGTATTCATAACTATCTGTTCTCTCATGTAGCAGCCTATTTTAAAATATTTTCAAAATATACGAATTTTACTATATTTAGGATTTTTCCCAAACTGGGGAGGTCTCGACAACTTAAACAAACGTGAAAAAGAGCACTATTCTTTGTACAGCGTAATATGAAACATTATTCACTTTTTGCATAACATATTCTAAAATCATCAGGCGAAAATATTTGATTCATAACATTTAAATTAAAAATGTTTGAAAAAATGTTTCTAGCGAAAATAAGTTACCTAAAAAAATATGTTAGCTCATGAAACTATGAATTCACTCTTCATACTGCAATAAGTTTTCTTGGAAGGACATATATGACAGAAAGCAATGCACATGTTCTGTTGCGAATTATTCACAATTTCATCAAGATTTTTTTCTTATATAAAACTATTAACCTTCATGCCACTGTATATTTGTCTTGTTTCAATTTTTCATGTCGAAGGCAGATTATTATGTATGCAAACCACTATCACAACGATTTAGTTGGCTTTAGAAAAGGACATATTTTTCATTTTTCAGAACCGAATAAAATAAAATCAACCGTTGTCTGCTTTAGAAAATGACTTTATATTTTTTGTTTTTCAGAACTGAATGAAATAAAATTAACCATAAAAGCATGACGACACGGAATGAAACAATATGAAAAGAGGTTTCGAAACAGGAAATGGAACTTTACAAGAATAAATCGCATATATCTCAATCGTTAAAAATATCAAGGTCACCGTAAGGGCCGAAAACTTCTATGAGTGGCATGGAAAATGATTGCTTGACTATGAAATGGTTTACTTTGGACTTGAAGAATAACAGTGTTATCGAGTTTTAAAAAGATAATTAGCCTTTTCTTTGGCTCAATTTGTGAAAGAATTCAAAATAAAAACTGCAAATTTACAAAAACAAATTAAATATGAGTTCAATTTTGCTCAAATATCTGTTTTCTGTCATTAGAACACTCTTACATTTTTTTGAAAAAATTGTCCATCGGTTTACTTTAGAATTGATGAATTTTCTTATTTAACTTGCTTTCTGTGCTATCTCGGAATACCACGAATGTACAATCTGAAACTTTAGTCACAGAGCGATCATGCCTAGAGTTACAGAAATGCGCTCAATGATAAACCTCGCATTTTTTAATATCTAACATATTTGGAAAAAAATTCTCTAGATCGAATTTTTGTAGTTTCCTCTCTCTTTACTCGCGTAGTTTTTTTGCGTATAGTTTTCTTTTATTACTGAATTATAGTACCTATCGCATTTGTGGAATCAGAATGCCTAAAATATTTCAGAATCATAAATTTTATGATACGGAGAACTTTGTTCTACAAATAGTTTAGTTTTGTTTCACCGTTTTCATGCTATTTTCTTTTCTCTTTTGTATATTTTACTCACATGCATCAAATCGTTTTACATCAAAAAAGATACAGAATTTCCTCGACAGTTTGGGAGCAACAAAATGCACAACATTTGTAAATTTGCAGTTTACATTATTTATTTTAGTAATGATACGAAGTTTAACAATATACTGATTTGGGTGTAAACTAAAACGCTTATAATAAGGCAAAAACTTACCTGAATCATAGTTAAGTCCCTGCTCACTAGGCATTAAGTCCAACAGATGCATTTGAGACCATGATCTCTGCAGACAAACCAAGAAGAGCACAGCAAAAAGCATCCAGCAAGCATTTGTCATTTTTGGTAAAGATCCAGCAGCCGGGAAACGAAAGCAAATTTTCACTACTCTTGTCATTCACTCACATCCACCACGCTTTTAGAAAGTAAGAACAAAGTTCCACCTTGGAGATTTTAAAACCGCGCCCGCTCTGGAAGATGAGGACGCGTTGTCGCTCGCACTCGAGTCAGGAGTGATGCGTTTGTATGAAGCGGGTTGTTGGAGAAGAGCAGGAAGTAGAAGTTAGTGCCCTGCTTCTTCTTGTTATATGCGAGATCTAGATTCCTCGAGGCGATCAGGCCCAATAACACACTAACCTTGTGGAGCTAGCGAACGAAATAACTGGCCTTGTCTTCTACTTATGCTTTATCCGATGCCGCTCTTTTCGCTTCTCCCTTGCCGTTTCTCCTGGTTGGTTCAACAAATTACGGAATTTAATTTCTAGGCCGCTGTTGGATGAAATCAAAGCAAAACATTTGTCAAAGTGTTAAAGGATGTGACATATTTCTTGAAGAAAGAAAGGAAGAAATAAATAAATAAATCTCACTCGCAATATTTCATTCTTATATGAAAGTATTAAGCTATAGTTACTTTGAATCGCAAACATTTATTAAACTTGTTTGATACTCACTATTTTTTATTCCACCGGCAGGAAAATAAGACTTCTGAACTCTGGTAATTCGAACCGCATTTGAATACTGGCGAATGGGTTGAATGCATAGGCGAATTAGTACTTTATCCCGTATGTAATGTGGTTGGTTTCAATTTGGTTTATTTCATTAAGGCAAAGCACACGAGGGTTTCTGCCTAAGAAGAGGTATATCTTCGTGGAGGACTTTCTATGGAAAATTGTTTCGTATACACGTAGGGAAAATCATGATACACATAAGGACACTCATGAAAACGACCATGCAACCAGCCCGTTCGCCGGGATTGGATCCCCAGACCAAGTTACCAGTGTTCAGCAATTTCTCCGCTCGGCCGCTAGTGGGATGTGATATGAATACGAGTCGATTTTGTTTTCTAAGAAAGTCCACAACAAAAGTATGTATTCCCTTAGGTAGATAGCCTTACCATGCTTTGTCATAATAGTTTCAAAAACCACAATTCTGGATATGTGATCCACCTTAATATAATGACTAATAATTACTTCGGTAAATATATGAATTTCTTATTAAAATGCATTCTCAATTAAACTAGGTTTTAATTTTCTGCAAGGATCAATTATTGATTAGTTCCCGGAGAAAATTAGAATCTCCTTACATATTCGACCAATTTCTTTTAAATGAAGTTCAAAACAATGTTCACGCGTAATCATATCCGCAAAATGCGGTAGTTGCGCCCTGAGTTAAGATTGTAAGTCGCAAAATAAAGCCCCGGAATATTGATAGCATATAGTGGAGTACGAATCCCTATGGGTGACCTATAGGGTGAGTGGAAACAAATTTTCATATATTTTTCTGTGTGTAACGCAAGTAAATAATAGATTTCTTCAGAAAATCCTCCACGAAGACACACCTGCCTTGAAAAATAGCCTTTGAAAATTGTGCTGTCATCAACTGATCTGAACGGTTCATGATTGCGGAATGGACTGGCCGCAGAAATATTTTCAAGGTCTTCCTTCCATGCGCAATATAATTCTTAAAGAATGACCGCTTAGAAACTTTTTCTTCAATTGTTAATGTATTAAAAAAATTAAGTATAACTTACACAAGCTAGTAGAAGAATTAAAATTTTTGAGATAAACATGCAAAATCTTAACATTTCTAACTTATTCGAATGGAATCAACAGTTCCTATTACATTTAACCCCCCCCCCCCCGAGCTACTTTCGTAACGGGCCAATAGCCGAGTGGTTAAAACCGCTAAATACTGCTCATTCCACTGGGGTTCAAACCCAGGCCAGCGGTTTGTTTACATGGTTGGTTTTTCACTATATGTGATGTGAATATGAGCCAGTTTTCCCTAGAAAGCCCTCCACAAAGGGAGAGATAGCCCTCTTGTGCTTGGCCATAGTCAAATAATAAGCTAACCCTATAATACATTCCGTAAAATATTACATAACTTAAAATTTACGCAAATGAATTTGTAAATTGTTCAAGTATAATTTCATAAGAAACTGCAGTGGATGATTGAAGAGAAATGCTGTTCTCTATCATATTCTATCTTTCTCGATTCTGAGAGTAATCGGGACAGTCTGGATAATCATATTGAAGATATTGTGATTGGTATTTCACAAACATGTCTCGAGTAAAATTGTGGTCAATACGCACTTTACTTTCAGCGTCAGTATCTACACTTCCCATGACTTCGTTTCTCTGTACGCTTCTTGAATCGCTCGGGCTATCTACGAATAGCTTTAAAATCTACGAATAGCTTTAAATGCATTTTTCGTGTTTACGGTACCTGCTTTCTCTTGTAATTCTTTGCGTAAAGATCTAACTTTCTACTGAATAATCAGAAAACTCGGGTCCGCTTCTGTCTCACAACCTCGATCTAGTGAGATAGTAAATTTTCCATCTCTGAAATCGGGCCCCAGCCTCCTGTGCTGGCAATATTTGTGCACTTCCAACGATACTGCAAATATCCTTTTTAAGCTGATAAATCTGTTTTTTTTTACCCTTTGACTACGAATTAAAAAAGTACCCCTTTTTCTATCCAAGGGAGCAAAATATGTCGCAAATAAGGTAAATTTAGTATTTAAGATTTTTTGACAAACGGTTTTCAAGCCAAAGGCTGGGACACATATTGCCTCAGCAGTAGCGATCGATTTACTTTAAGCACACCTATTATTCTGGAAAACTTTATTATATGCAATAAGTTTTACATCGTATTCCACAGGATAAAGCATTCTTTGCATAATCCAGCATTACATATTGGGCAACTCATGTTTGTTCTTTTCTGTATGTTCATTTGTGTACGAGCACAGCGGCGTCTTGATTTTCCAATTATTGGAAGATGATCCCCAACATTCAGAAGATTCTAAGTACTTTTTAACCCAGCAATAATTTTTAAATTTTTAGTGGGGCATATATGTCCCGTTGGCAGTCAAAGAGTTAAATAAAAAAATGCAATATCGGAATTAAGATACTACTTTTATAAATTTGGTATTTAATGAGCTTTAACTGTGTAAGCTTTGCAATTACAATGATTCTATACTGCAAAAACAATGACTACGTAAAATTTTATAAAATGTATAAGCAGAGGTATATAAATTTCTCTATTATTCTTTTACTCAATTGAAGTGGACTTTGAAATACTGAATATTTTATAAAATACCTTATTTACTTTTGCAGTAAGAGAAAATATGTGAAAATACGTCCGTGGAAACGAAATCGCAAAACATTCGTATTAATGGTTCTTTTGCATAAAATACGAAAAAGTCGGAAATCTGTATTTAAGAACATTGCACGACTCAAATAGCATTTTCTTTAAAATTTAACAGGTGTATAACCCCTTTAATTGTTCTACATTTTCTAACCAAATATGCAAGATAAGCGAAAGCTGAAGTGCAATAACCTTTTCAGTCTGCTCATAAATCATTCCGTGAGAAAACTGTAACTAGATTTTTTTCAAACTGAATTATTCTAATTGTCTCCTTCCGTGATAAAACTTTTATTTCCAAGCTCCAACTAGAGCGCAGCACAGCTGATGCCATTCATTCTCAAAACGTATAATTATGGCACTCTAATATTAAGCTATTGCTTGGAAGGCATCGGTAATGAAAAAGATATAGAATCTAGTTCAAGATCGGGAAAGAAATTCCCCGTTCTGAATTTTAATCATAGAATTCGTGTTACTTCCAGAGGCGTGTTGGAAACGCCTCTCGTGCTTTACTGCGTGCTACGAATTTTTAAAAGTTTTTATCCAAATTACCTATTTTAGCATATTTTTTCTTATTACGCCCAATATTTTCCTACGAATGAGAATGACAACTTTCCGGGAAATAGCATTTTGAGATTTTAATTTGTATTTAATTCCAAAATCAATCTCTTGTTTTATTGAAGATAAATACAGCTTAGTCTCTGATAGCCAGCTTGAAGCAGCAAATATTGGAGTAAAATAAGGTATAAAAAAATTTCAGTGTTCTGAGAAAAGTTTTTATTTTACCCAAAACTACTTTTGGTTTAGTATTACTAGCTCGTCGTAAAGCCGTCTAGATTCCGAAGTTATCCGACAGTTTCATTTTTAACCACATTACGCTGTTAGTTAATTTATTCAAATTTAATTCTTAACCCTTTCACTGAAATGATTCGAGCTTTTGATTAGATTATGTCAGTGAGCAAAAATATATAAAACTAATATTTTGAATTTTATGTAGAGTAGAATTCTAGCTAGTATCTACTTCGTTACGCATGGGCTGAAAAACCATTAAAACGCCCATGTAATTAGGCCGAGTCGATCTACCAGTGTTCGACGACAGCATTCAGCCCCTGAAATTTTCCACATGTTTCTATAGGCCTTGAGACTTTACTATCGGTTACATTACGTTATTTGAATATGGCAAAGTAGACAAGGGCGATCTCTCTAAGAGTAGGGACGGCTTCATAGAGGACCTTTTAGAGGAACTGGCTCGTATTCACTTTATGCATGGAAAGAACCAAAAATACCAGCAGTCCAATCAGCCCTTTCGCCTGGAATCAAACCCTAGTTGAACTACCAGTATTCAGCGATCTTAAGCAATCGGCCACTAGTGGGACGCCTTTTCTATAGCAAGATACAGTTAGTCACAAAAGTCTGCGTACAGACTAAATTTTAAATTAAAAAAACACTTAATGCATAGAAAAATGTATTTAAATCTTTGTATTTTTTCCTTCTATTAGCTAAAAATTGTAAGCTTAAATAAAAAGTAAATAATATCAGTGTAATACTTTTTACATTTTTCAAAAATGTATTTTGTCAAAAAAACTCAGAAATTCTCTCCAATAAGTCTGCGTACACTTTCAAAAAAAGCGAAATATAAGTTTTTTACATTACTTGAATACTTTGTAGGATATCCTTTATTCTTCAAAACAGCTTGCAGACGTCTGGGCATTGACTGAACTAGTTTTTCAGTGTCATCCGACGTAAATTTCGCCCATTCTTCCTGCAGTTTACTAATTAGCTCATTTCGCGACGTAATATTGTGTTTTCGAATTCGTTTCTCCAATTTGGCCCACAAATTGTTCGATTGGACTGAGGTCTGTTGACTGTGGAGGAGTGAGTATGCGACTGTCTTGGAGTGTGATAGAGGAGATATTCCTTCACAATATTAGCTG